CGATCTTACTGTTATTATTGAACATTTGTGCCCTTGTTTTAGTGCCTTGCTGAGCCATGGAAACTATATCGTCCCATTTACTCTGTCATTACATTCCATAATTAACAAGCCAACTGACCCTTGACCTTCCTTGGAGCGTTTGACAAGGAATAATGAATATTTATCACATTTATATAACCTTTCTCTAATAACTATTTAAGTTTTTAAAAGACATGAAAGAAAAGCTTGCATTTCTATAGTGCTTTCCACAACCTCAGGACAATTAAGTCATTTAAAGTTTGGTGGCTGTTGTAATATAGGCAACACACAATCAATTTGCAACCAGCAAGCTCCCATAAACAGCAATGACATATATGCTACATCAATACTGGTCTCCCTTCTGTAGGAAGTATGTCGTGAAACTTGAAAGGGTTTAGAAAATATTTACAAGGATGTTGCCACGGTTGGAGGTTTTGAGCTATAGGGAGAGGCTAAATAGGTTGGGGCTATTTTCTCGAGTGTCAGCTGAGGGGTGACCTTATAGAGGTTCATAAAGTCATGAGGGGCAAGGATAGGCTGAATAGCCAAGGTCTTTTTCCCAGATTAGGAGAGTCCAAAACTAAAGGGCATATGTTTAAGGTGAGAGGGGGCAAGTTTCAAAGGGATCTAAGCAGGTACATTTTCATGCAGGGGGTGGTGTGTGTATGGAATGAGCTGCCAGAGGAAGTGGTGGAGGCTGGTACAATTACAACATTTAAAAGGCACCTGGATGGGTACATGAATAGGAAGGGTTTAGAGGGATATGGGCCAAATGCTGGCAAATGGGACTGAATTTATTTAGGATACCTGGTCAACATGGACAAGTTAGACCAAAGACTCTGTTTCCATGCTGTATGACTCTATGGCTCTATTTGGGTTAATGATGGGGAGACAATGGCCTAGTGGTATTATCACTGGACTGTTAATCCAGAGACCCAGATGATGTTCTGGGACCTGGGTTCAAATCCCACCATGGCAGAGGGTAGAATTTGAATTCAATAATAATAAAAAAAATTTGGAATTAAGAGTCTAATGATGATCGTGAAACCATTGTTGGTTATTGGGAAAAACCCATCTGGTTCACTAATGCCACTTTAGGAAAGGAGACTGCCATCCTTATCTGGTCTGGCCTGCATGTGACTCCACACCCACAGCAATGTAGTTGATTATTGACTGCCTTCTGGGCAATTAGGGATGCCGTAGCCAGCCACAACCTCATCCTGTGACTGAATAAATAAAGAAAACAAAACTATTGATGAACACGTTTACAACGGAGCCAGTGTGTACCACAAACCACTCATTGCCTAAATCCCCAACATTATCTTCTGGCCTGATGTGCTCAGAATAGAGTTGTAGAGGTCTACAGCACAGAAGAAGGCTCTTCAGCCCATCGACATTGTGATGATTAAAAACAACCACCTAACCATTATAATCCCATCTCCCAGCACTTGGCCCATAGCATTGTATGCCTTGGCATTGCAAATGCACATCTAAATACTTCTTCAATGTTATGAGCGTTTCTGCCTCTCCCACCTTTACAGGCATTGGGTTCCTGATTCCCACCACCCTCTGAGTGAAAAATATTTTCCTAAAATCTCCTCTAAACCTTAAATATATGCCTCACTTCCCCCCATTCATTGATCCCTCCACCAAGGTGGAAAAGGTTCTCCCTGTCTACCCTATTTATAACCCTCATAATTTTCTACATCTCAATCATTTCCCTTCTTAATCTCCTCTCCTCCGAGGAAAACAGCCCCAGTCTCTCCACTTTATGTCAGTCTTCATCTAGACTTGAAATTTCAGCTTGCTCTCTTCTCCATGGATACTGACTTACTACTGCGATTCCCAGCATTTTCTGTTTTCGGCCCAGTCTACCCAAGCTCTCTCCGTAACTAAAGCACACCAGGCCAGGCAGCATCCTGGGAAATCTCATCTGCACCATCTCCAGTGCAATCACATCCCTCATATAATGTGGATTCCAGGGCTGCACACAATACTCTGGCTGTGGCCTAACCAACATTTTATACAATTCCAGCGTAACCTCCCTGCTCGTAAGCTCTATGCCTCGGCTAATAAAGTAAACCAGATGTCTTTCTTGACCACTTTATGCACCTGTCCTGCTACATTAAGGTGGACATGGAGACCACTGATCCTTGGTTCTTCCCAGGGTCCTACCGCCCATCATTCCCTTGCTTTGTTTGTCCTGCCCAAACGCATCATTTCACACTTACCTGGATTGAATTCCATTTGCCAACTGCTTTCTTGGAAAAAATAATGAAGTGGGGCTCTTTTGTAAGATGGAATGAGCAGGGGTATTACTTGAATGGAGAGTGACTGCAGAATTCCAGGTTGCAGAGCGATCTAGGTGTCTAGTGCATGAGTAACAAAAGAGTTAATACGCAGGTACAACACACAATCAATACAGCTTAATGGGTGCTACACTTTATTACGAGAGGAAACATAAAAATAGGGATAAAACAGAGGACTGTGGATGCTGCAGACCTGAAACAAAAACTCAGCAGGATCTGTGGGGAGAAATTAAAGTTAACATTGAGTCCAGTGACCCTTCTTCAGTGTTCTGAAGAGTCTATTCACTGAACTATGCTCACTGTTCTTGATTAGTTAAGTCTGTGTGTTGATTCAGAGTTAGAGTAAACTGGAGGACCGAGAAGGTAGATTTGAGATAAGCGGGAGTACAGACAATCTGGTGGTTATTGAAATAATTTAAAACATGCGTGGTGGCACGGTGGCTCAGTGGTTGGCACTGCTACCTCACAGCGCCAGGAACCCGGGTTCAATTCCACCCTTGGGCGACTGTCTGTGTGGAGTTTGCACATGTTCCCTTTGTCTGTGTGGGTTTCCTCTGGGTGCTCCGGTTTCCTCCCACAGTCCAAAGATGTGCAGGATAGTTGGATTGGCCAGGTTAAATTTCCCATAGTGTTCAGGGATGTTTAGGTTAGACATGGGAGATGCAGGGGTAGGGGAATGGATCTGGGTCAGTTGCTCTTCGGAGGGGCGGTGTCGGCTTGTTGGGCCAAATGACCTGTTTCCACACTGTATGGATTCTATGATTAAATCTGCACACTCAAGAACTAGTGTCATCATTGCTTGCTGTAAGGTAAATCAAGTGTCACTATACTGTTAAAATATAGTTTATCATTTGTCAACTTCCATCATTTGATTTTATTTCATGGGCTGAAATGGCTTCAAAATGAAGGGGTAAAAAGACTTAAAAATGGCTGCATTAACCATCCGACTACTCTCATTGCGATCTCAATAAACAAGAACTAATCAGAACTGAAATTAACATTGTTATCACACAAGACTGAAACCGATCAACCAGGCTGTAATGACTGTAATGAGGTCAGCCAGCTGGACTTCATAGAATATGAGTTCCCTGATTGGGCTGTTAATCTGGCCCAATCAGGGAGCCCTGGCTGACAGATATAAACAGGAGTGCCAGAGATACTAACACTCTGGTGCCTGATTCTATATAAGGCAGTACTATAAATCAAGGACTATTCACGTGTACATAAAGGGCGACATGGTGATGGAATACTTGCTGCTGTGGAGTTATTTTGCAGACCTGTGTCTCCTGTTTGATTTACACCATTATTAGAAGTTCATATGTTGGAGATTAAGGTAAAATCACATGAAAACAGGAAACTCGGACACAGGAATGCATAAACCGGCTGTATTTCAGGAACTGCTTTTGGTTAGACCAGATGAGATGAATTTGTGACTGGAACAAAACTGGAGTGAGCTCTCTCTTTCAGCTTCTTGAAGGACAAATCATGCAGCGATATTGCAAATTGGGAAGAACCTCAGGCTAATGTTCTAGGATTTCAATTCAAATCCCAGCATGAAATTTGAATTTTTTTTTTGAAAACAACTGAAATAAAAAGTTATCCTGAGGCAGACCATGTAACATAGAAATTAGGAGCAGGAGTAGGTTATCTGGACATTGAACCTGTGTCATAAAAACCCATCTGGTTCACCAATTTAAAGAAGCAGTTGTGACTGCAGATTCCCAGCAATGTGGTTATCCCTTCACTGGCCTCGGGGAAATTACTGTTGGGTAATAAATGCCGGACTAGTCAATAATGGCCAGGTCCAAAGAGTAAAGTAAATTGCAAATGGCAACACTCCCATCCTGACTCTCAGAATATGGTGCAGTGGGGATGACCCTTACCTCTAGGTAAGAAACTCTGGGTTTAAATCCCACCTCAGGAGATGATGGTTGTGGAAGGCCTGTCAAAACAGCTGATTATCCACCAGTACATCTTTCTCGGATGCTCAGACAGTCAGAACCATGTGGTAGGTGTAGGGCAAGCTTAAAAGGATTCATGGGTAGGCTGTTGCCAGGACCAAACTTCAACCTCATTCATAGAATTCCTTAAACTGCACAAGTGGCCATTTGGCCCATCAAGTCTGCACCAACACTCCGAAGAGAATTCCACCCACCTTATCCTCATAACTTTGTATTTCCCATGGCTTAATCCACCTAGCCTGCACATCCCTGGACACTATGTGTAATTTAGCATGGCCAATCCACCCTAACCTGCGCATCTTTGGACCGTGGGGAGGAAACCAGAGCAGCCGATAGAAACCTATGCAGATACGGGGAGAATGTGCAAACTCCACACAGACAGTCAGCAAAGACTGGGATTGAATCTGGGTCCCTGGTGTTGTGAGGCAGCAGTGCTGAGCAGAGGGGCACCATACTGCCTTGTAAACTGAAGGCAAGCAATCAGGGCTTGTTCTGGGGGACTTCCACACGTACATGCAAGCCCTATTAGCTGTGACTGGACCTTCAGTGCCCTGGTCCGAAGCTCTAGCATTCCCCCTGTGAAATGCCTCTTCCACCCTTGTCTCCATCGCCTGGAACACACAATTGCTCCGTTGGCCTCATATCTCCTTTTCCGGCTTAGTGTCAAATATCTATTGGGCTACACACATTGGGGACATTCTGTACACTAAAGATGCGACAGAGATGTAAGTACCTGACTCAGCAGCATCTGTGAAGGGAAAAGCAGTGTCAATGTTTCAAGGCTAGTGACCATTTTTCAGAAGAGATATGATCCAATCTTCTTTTTTTAAAAGTTAATTCATGGGAAATGCTGGGCCAGCAATGGTTTCCAATCCTGAGTTACCCTTGAGAGGAATGGGTGGTGTGCTGACAATCAAGGTGCTGCATTTTGGTAAAACAAACAAGGGCAGGACTTGTACAATTAAAAGTAGGGCCTTGGGTAGTGCTGTAAAACAGAGAGACCTAGGGTTTCAGGTACATAATTCTTTGAAGTTTGTGTCACATGTAGACAGGATGGTTAAGAAGGTGTTTAGCACGCTTGGCTTCATTGCTCAGACCTTTGAGTATAGGTGTTGGGATGTCATTTTGAGGTTGTACAGGATGCTGGTGAGGCCCCTTCTGGAGTACTGTGTATAGTTTTGATATAGAAAGCATATTATTAAACTGTAGGGGGTTCAGAAAAGATTTACCATGATGTTGCTGGGAAGGAAGGGTTTGAGTTATAAGAACATAAGAACTAGGAGCAGGATTAGGCCATCTGGCCCCTCGAGCCTGCCCCGCCATTCAATAAGATCATGGCTGATCTTTGAGACTCAGCTCCACTTACCCGCCCACTCACTATAACCCTTAATTCCTTTACTGTTCAAAAATTTATCTAGCCTTGCCTTAAAAACATTCAGCGAGGTAGCTTCAACCGCTTCACTGGGCAGGGAATTCCACAGATTCACAACCCTTTGGGTGAAGAAGTTCCTCCTGACCCCAGTCCTACATCTGCTTCTCTTTACTTTGCGGCTATGCCCCTAGTCTTAGTTTCAACTGCTAGTGGAAACAACCTCCCTACCTCCACCTTATCTATTCCCTTCATAATCTTATATGTTTCTATAAGATCTCCCCTCATTCTTCTGAATTCCAATGAGTATAATTCCAGTCTACTCAGTCTCTCCTCATAATCCAAACCTCTCAACTCTGGAATCAACCGAGTGAATCTTCTCTGCACCCCCTCCAGTGCTAGTATATCTCTTCTCAAGTAAGGAGACCAAAACTGCACACAGTTCTCCAGGTGTGGCCTCACCAGGACCCTATACAGCTGCAGCATAGCGTCCCTGTTTTTAAACTCCATCCCTCTAGCAATGACAGACAAAATTCCATTTGCCTTTTTAATTACCTGCTGCACCTGCAATCCTACTTTTAGCAATTCATGCACAAGGACACCCAAGTCCCTCTGCACAGCAGCGTGCTGCAATTTTTTACCATTTAAAACATAGCCCATTTTGCTGTTATTCCTACCAAAATGGATGATGTCACACTTATCAACATTGTACTCCATCTGCCAGGCTTTTGCCCACTCACTTAGACTATCTATATCCCTCTGCAGACTTTCAGTGTCTTCTGCACACTTTGCTCTACCACTCATCTTAGTGTCATCTGCAAATTTTGACACACCACACTTAGTCCCCAACTCCAAATCATCTTTGTAAATTGTAAACAGTTGCGGTCCCAACACTGATCCCTGAGGCACACCACTAGCCACTGACTGCCAACCAGAAAAACACCCATTTACCCCTACTCTTTGCTTTCTACTGGTCAACCAATCCTCTATCCATGCCAATACATTACCTGTAATACCGTGCAACTTTATCTTATGTAGCAGCCTTTGATGTGGCACCTTGTCAAATGCCTTCTGGAAATTCAGATACACCACATCCACAGGTTCCCCATTGTCCACCATGCAAGTAATGTCCTCAAAGAATTCCACCAAATTAGTTAAACATGACCTACCCTTCATGAACCCATGCTGGGTGTTCCCAATGGGACAATTTATATCCAGATGTCTTGCTATTTCTTTCTTAATGATAGATTCAAGCATTTTCCCACTACCGAAGTTAAGCTAACTGGCCTATAGTTACCTGCTTTTTGTCTACTTCCTTTTTTAAACAGTGGCGTCACATTGGCTGTTTTCCAATCTGCGGGAACCACCCCAGAGTCCAGTGAATTTTGGTAAATAATTACTAGTGCATTTGCTATTTCCCCCATCACCTCTTTTAGTACACTGGGATGCATCTCATCAGGGCCAGCAGCTTGTCTACCTTTAGCCCCATTAGCTTGCCCAGCACTGCCTCCTTAGTGATAATGATAGTTTCTAGGTCCTCATCTGCTATTCTTGCCATTAGTTTTCGGCATGTTATTTGTGTCTTCCACTGTGAAGACTGACACAAAATAACTGTTTAATGCCTTGGCTATTTCCTCATTCCCAGTTATTAAATTGGCAGTCTCATCCTCGAAAGGACCAATGTTTACCTTCGCTACTCTTTTACAATTTACATATTTATAGAAATTTTTGCTGCCTGTTTTTATATTCTGAGCTAGTTTACTCTCATAATCTATCTTACTTTTCTTTATAACTTTTTTGTGGCTTTCAGTTGGCCTTTAAAGATTTCCCAGTCTACTAGTTTCCCACTTTTGTATGTGTGTTTTTTCAATCTGATACTTTCCTTTATTTCCTTAGACATCTATGGCTGACTATCTCTTTTCCTCCAGTTCTTCCTTATCACTGGAATATGCTTCTGCTGAGCACTGTGAAAAATCGTTTTGAAAGTCCTCCACTGTTCCTCAATTGACCCACCATAAAGTTTTTGCTCCCATTCTACCTTAGCTAACTCCTCCCTCACCCCATCATAGTTCTCCTTTGTTTAAGCACAAGACATTGGTACTGGATTTAACCTTCTCACGCTCCATCTGTATTTTAAATTCGACCATACTGTGATCGCTCCTTCCGAGAGGATCCCTCACTGTGAGATCATTAATTATTCCTGTCTCATTACACAGGACTAGATCTAGGATAGCTTTCTCCCTCGTAGGTTCCATTACATATTGTTCAAGGAAATTATCGCGGATGCATTCTATGAACCCCTCCTCAAGGCTGCCATGGCCGACCTGGTTTGACCAATCGATATGTAGATTAAAATCCCCCATGATAATTGCTGTACCATTTTTACATGCATTAGCTATTTCTATGTTTATTGCCTGCCCCACCACAATATCATTATTTGGTGGCCTATAGACCACATCTATCAGTGACTTCTCCTGCTATTCCTAATTTCCACCCAAATGGATTCAACCTTTTGTTCAGTAGAACCTATATCATCTCTCACTACTGCCCTGATATCATCCTTAAAAATCAGAGCAACACCACCTCCCTTACCTTCCTATCTGTCCTTCCGAACAGTTTGATACCCCTGGATATTTAACTCCTAGTCATGACCATCCTGTAACCATGTCTCTGTAATGGACACTAAATCATACCCATTTGCCATGACTTGTGCCGTCAATTCATCCACCTTGTTTCGAATGCTCTGAGTATTCAGATAAAGTGCCCTTATGCCAGTTTTTGCACCTTCTTTTTGGGTCCTATCACGTCTATTACTAACAGGTCTGGAGTTCTCCTTCCCTTTAATTTTTCTCCTAATTTTCAATGGAGTTGAAGCTTCCTCGTCACTAAAGAGGGGCTGGATAGATTGGGACCTTTTTCTGGAGTGTGGGATGTTGAGAGGTGACCTTATTGAGGCTTATAAAATCATGACGGGTTTAGACAAGGTGAATGGCAGGTGTCTTTTCCTTAGGGTGGGGGATTTCAAAAATAGGAGGCATATTTTTAAGGTGGGAGGAGAAAGATTTTAAAAAATTACATGAGGAGCAAATGTTTTACACAGAATGTGGCTTGTGAGTGGAATGAACTGCCAGAGGAAGTGGTGGATGGGGGTGCAGTCTAAACATTTAAAAGATTTAGATAAGTACATGAATAGGAAAGGTTTGGGGGGCTATGCACCAGGACCGGGCAGGTGGGACTAGTTTAGTTTGGAATTATGGTCGTCATGGCCTGATTGGACTGAAGGGTCTGTTTCTGTGCTGTATGACTCTACAAAATACAATAACATAAATAAAGATAAAATATAATCCAAGTAAAATACAATCCAGATGACTTTTCATTTTAGAAGTGGCATTTTGAAATAAATGCCACCACCTTTAAAGCAAAAGAAAATTTTCTTGAATCAGAGATAGTAGGAACAGCAGATGCTGGAGAATCCGAGACAACAAGGTGCAGGGCTGGATGAACACAGCAGGCCAAGCAGCATCATAGGAGCAGAAAGGCTGACGTTTCGGGCCTAGACCCTTCATCAGAAAAAGAAAATTTTCTTGCCTGCTTTGGCTTGTTTCTGTCCTTAAGGCTCAAAAGAAACTCACTGAAGTTTTATTTTGAATTAAATTTGCACTCAATTCATCACGGGAAATACACAGCTACTCCAAATCATTAACATGCCCGAGTGATGAATTGCTTGGCCAAAGAAATGGTGGTGAATAATAACCCTCTCTCAATGGGCGCTGGGCAGAGGATGTGTGTGAATCCATGCCGTCCACACACTATAAACGGCCAAGTATGAGCAGCAGTTGAGAGATGAATGGGAGAAACGGGCTTGAGCTCTCCTTGGGATGGGAAGTGAGTGTCGACTTGCAGAGGACAAACTATTCATTCCTGCAGCACTGACAGAAGGAAAATCAGCATTAACATTTGCTCAACCTGGCGTTTCCCTGCCAACCTGCCTTTCATTGTCCCACTTCATCAACCAGCTTAAAATAAATTCTGATCATAGCAAGAAAATAAGCGAAAACCTCAGTGATTGATCTCTACAAAAATAAAGATGATGTTAGTTTCTATAGGTTCGTCTACTTTTTAAAACACAATATGGATATAGCACCTATACAGAGAGCAAGCAGGAACAATGCACTGAGTTGAATGATTAGCCCTGATCATATTGAGTGATAGTGCAGGCTCAAAGGGCAGAATGGCCTACTCCTGCTTCTGTGTTTCCATGCTTCCAGCACTGAAACAGGTCACTTGGCTCAACTGCTTTGATCCAGTGTTTAAAAATTCCATACCTGCCTCCTCTCACTCCTCTTTACCTCGTCC